AACATATCTAAACGTTTTCGTGATGGAGGCAGAGTTGATCTTGGATGGAAGACGCCAGTTTTAACACGATGACTAATAACATCGGAAGGCATCAAGTAATACCATTTACATAGAACTGAAGTAAAGACATGTTAAAACAAGCGTTTTTCACTCCAATGACCATCTGTGACATCTTGTAGTTTTTAACCAAATAACCACCAATTAAACTAGTAAAAACGAAAAATAGTGAAGAGAAAAACATATAATGCGGGAATGGATATCCGCAATATGGACTTAGGATTGACATTAATATTACGTTAATAGGTATTAATTAATAAATATGTATATATCGTAAAGAAAATGAGTAATTTCTTGTGTCAGACTGAGTACAGGTTAATACAAGTAAGCACGTACATTTACTCACGCATCGTCATTCTCACACGCACTCGCACTCTCCTTTGGAGTGTACGAATATGTTATACAGTATAATACACATATATGCACCTTCTTACCTACAATAGTATCTATACTCTATTTATGTATACATATGAATACATATACGTGGTTACTCGCATACCATCTCACACGTTCTCCACATAGAATATACAGTTCACTACATAACATAATAATTATTAATTTAAAGAGCAAGCAACGACACGTGATGACAACCAAATCATACTTAATATTCGGATACGTACAGGACACTGGTGTACGAATAAACAGCCCTATACAGATTCAGTGTTTCAGAAATAATATTTCAATATATCGGATTGACAAGATAGGCTTTATTACCACTTAACTTCACTCAACCCAGTAAATAAATTACACATATGTTGCCGGGTGCAGCAACAGAACACATTTACCTCCCCTATAAAACAGTCCGAGGGAGATTTTTATTCTAAAATACTTTATTGTAATAAAGATCTGTATCAATTTTAACTGGGAGAGTTAAAATTGAGGTGGTATTAATTATACTGTAGAAGTATATACACGGAGCATGATTGCCCAATAGAAAGCAACAACTCAGAATTCGTTTGTGTCATTCTTTGTTTCTGATGATATAATACGACCAAATTCAATCAAGTCACGTTCTTTTTTGATGATAACTTTTTTTTCAGCATTGGTTTTAATGAAAATTTTTTCATCAATGGACCATGTTTGTTTGATTTGTTTAGCTCGCACAAGCTTTCTAGCGTAATAGCATATGGCATCGCGCGTTTTGGTTAGGTCCTCATTGACTGCGACGTTTTCGTAACCTGGAGTGTTCCGGAAGTTTTTCCTGGCGGAGAGCAGACGACGCTTGGCATCATGATTGCGCAGACGTACAATAATTTGTCTTGTTTTACCATCAGACGGGGGTCCGATACGATGTGACCTGACGATGTCGCTAGGGTCCAAAATCGGGGCTGGACTTTCAGATGGTTTGATCTGATCTACTGCCTGTAGTATTAGGTTAGTAGTGTTTTCACCAGACGACTCTGGGATCCCAGAAAAACAAACACACTCCCTTCGACTGTATTGCTCCAGATCGTCAATTTTCATCTTAAGAGACTCATTTTCTGATTTTAATTCCAATATTTCCCTTTTTAGGGGAGTTATTTCGTTCTGGATGAGAGTTTTGATATCTGGTAATATAATGCTCCTGACAGTGGTTGCTGTGCGCTGAATGTCAAAGTCTGACAGACCTACATTTACGGGAGCAACAGGAGGGGTAGAGGTCATGGTTGGATGGAACTGGAGAAATTGCTGCTGATGATGTTGCGCCGACAATTGGAGCTGGGGCTGGGGCGGTACCTGCGAGATGTCCGAGTCCATATTCAACACAGTGTCAGAGTTAAGAAAACTTTCATGCAAATTGATACTGTCAACAGTTACTTTATTTTTCTTTGGAGAACGAGAGTTCGGTGTAATTTTAGAGCGATCACGTTTTAAACTGTTCATTATACAAGATACACGTTCATGATATCATATGCAACAAGCCAAGAAATACACTCGGTACTCGGTCTCCAACTATATGTCGCCTGTACGGGTGTGAACAGGTGTGTAGTCAATCAAGTAAACAATCTATTTATAGCGACGGTCAGCTCACCTGTATCACATAAGCACGTACTCGGTATACTCAACAACCTGAAATTGTCATATTCAAATTCATGTTCAATACACGGACTTTTTTTACCATTTTTCCAATATACATGTTTCCAAACACAGTATGATTCCTTAACCTATCTTCTGGAAAGTCCATATTGCCATATCCGGACAAATAATCACATTTTCTCCGGAGTGGTGTGTAAGGCGACCACCATACTGTACGGTCACGTACTATTACTATTTTTGTGTTTGTTCCCATATACATTCATAATCAAAATCTATTAATAAGACAGTTACAACCTCTGTTTGATAAATTAATTAGATTTACTCATATATGGCGATCCGAAATTAAGAAAAGATGATAATATATCTTAATTACAAAAAAAGTAAAATAGGGATATGATTGAATGTCTCTCTCTCTCTCTCTCTCTCTCTCTCTCTCTCTCTCTCTCTCTCTCTCTCTCTCTCTCTCTCTCTCTCTCTCATTTCTGTTGCTGTAGTGGTGGTCAAAACAGTACTTAAGGACTACAATATATATTCGTAGTCTTGGTGAATCCCAAGTGCGCACGTGTTAAATAAATATTCGTAGTCTTGGTAAATCTCAAGTGCGCACGTGTTAAATAAATATTCGTAGTCTTGGTAAATCTCAAGTGCGCTCGTGTTAAATCAATATTCGTTGTCTTGGTAAATCCCAAGTGCGCACGTGCTAATTCAATTTCAGGGAATGCTTTTAATTGAATACATGTATAAGGAGGGGAGGGGGAGGAGGGAGGGGGAATGGGAGGGAGGGGGGCTGGGTTTAGCATACCCTATTAACATCCATGATTTCAGATTCTATATCAACTTTTAATTGATAATCATACAATATATAATAGATGGACATCGACGCAAGTAAATAGGTCCATTTACTGTACATGGAGGCGGAAATGTGCGATGGAGTCTATATTAAAATTTATTTGTGACACACAGCCTACTGACGTCACGCTCAGCATATAAAGAGAAATAACATAATTAATTAGGAAAAATGATTAAAATTTTGTCCTTGTTTCGAAATACAGCGTCTGTGTAATGCATCATATCGATTCATCTGATTGGAGCAAATTCTGGTAGTTTGAAGGGAGGTAACTCGTATGTTTTCCTTCACAGCTCAGCATCACAATGTTTTGAGCAACAGTACTAGATGTTGGAGGTGGCGGATAACGTGTTTGTTCCTTGGAGTACACTGTATTGATGTATTTCAATTTAATATGCAATTGGGACGCAACTTTAAATTAGCTAAAATACTTTCATTCAACTAATTGAATAAACAATTTCAACGATAGTAACACAACTTTTAAGTGTGAACGATTACATGACATCCCATGATTTTCCTTTGTTTTAATCATTGTAAATTTAATCTTACCGTACAGTTTTTGCAACAGTTAGCCATATATAGATATGAATATTTATGAGAGCATACATGTATACATTGTACAGTTACAATATGTGCAAACTTATACTCTTAATCACAGACATACGATATGGGTAACATTTCCGATGATTTGTAAGTTCCGGCCCGGTATGATACAAAACGAAATAGAATTTTTGCATTTACAGGATTATGAATGCAAATAAGTTAATAAGTGTCCTTCCTCTTGTCCCGATGCAAAGGAGATTGTCGCAAGAAGAAAAAAAATGTGTAAATTAAACTGCTCTACGAACCGCTGGCACAAAATACATGATAACGTCAGGCAATGTGGGATAGTGCTTATGTATAAATATGTATTTGGATTACTGAGCAGAAAAAAATAGGTCTCTATAAAAGATGTATATATTCACGGACTTAGAATACTCTAATTCCGTGGTAGCTTGAGGGACTAAAACAATAACTTTCGGAGAGCAGGGCCTTGAGAACTGCAGAAAATATTGATAAAGTCGAGTCGATTCCACAACGATATCAAAAAAATAAATAAATCAATCAATAAAAGTCGTCAGAACGTCAGAATAATTCGGACTAGCAGTAAGAAGGCTTCTTAGCCAGGGTCTGAATTGCAACTCATCTCTTTAACATTAGCTTTCATATGGTCTTAGTGCTGGATCACTGGCCCTGGTATCTAGCTACCTGAGTAACAGAATACAGCAGGTCAAGTTAGGCTCCAAATGCAGTTAGACTGGTTAGAAGTGTTCAAAGGGATTTCTCAGGGCTCAATTATGGGACCCCTCCTCTTTAACATTTCTATAAATGACATGTTCTTTACTGTCAAATCGTCCAATACTCCAAAGATCCAAAGATCAGCGAGGCAGGGATACAGACAAGAGAGGGAAGGAAGTGGTCAGCGACTGCTGCTGTAGGGGAAGCAGAGAATATTCTGGAGTTGAATGATATTAGTGGGAATACATGTGTCGGAAGGTAAGGTGTTGGCTGTTCACACTTCCAGCAATTGGAAAGGGCAAACACACATGAGTGGGACAGATGGTTCAGAAAGAGGTACGGAGAGCAGAAGAGGAGATACGGAAGCAGAAATCTATTGAACTGAGTAAGCAGGGTGCATGGACCAGATGGAACCTCCCGAAGAGAAAGCTTATGTGGGCTAAATTGTGGAAGATGGAACCCTTCAGGATCTCGTTCATGCCTAGATCAGTATATGACATGCTTCCATCGCCCGTCAATCTGCACCAGTGGGGAATGACAGAGGACCCGAACTGCAGACTACGCAATCAGAAAAGGTCAATATCTCACATCCTGGCTGGATGCAAGAAGGCATTTCAACAAGGAAGATACTGATGGAGGAATGATAATATACTGAGAGTATTGGCTGATATCCTGGAGATGGAAAGAAGGGAGAAAAGGACAAATCGGCCAACAGCACAATCCGCTATTCGGTTTGTCAGGCAGAGTGAAAGAGGGAAAGGGAGGCAACTCTTCTATCTTACACAGGGCTCAATCATGGGAGATGAGGGTGAATTTTCACAGAAAGCTTGTCTTCCCGGGTATCGTTCAGACAACGCGGAGGCCTGACATCGTTATGTCATCGCAGCATTCCAAACTCGTTATCGTAATAGAGCTAACAGTTCCATGGGAAGAAGGTTGCGAGGAGGCCCATGAAAGAAAGAAAACAAAATTTGATGAGTTGATGGCGAAGTGCAGACAGAGGGGACGGACTGTATGGCTATTTCCTGTGGAGGTGGGCTGCAGAGGGTTTCGGGCCCAATCCTTATGGAGGATGCTGCAGACACTAGGGATCACAGGAAGAACTCGAAGTGCAGTCATCAGACGTTTGGCAGAAGCTGCAGAGAAAGCATGTGCTGGCTATGACACCGACGAAATAAGCCGATATGGAAGTCAACGTGGACAATCAGTGGTTTGGCCACCACTGCTGGCCCACCAGCCGGAGGATGTTGTGGTTTAGGGTCGAAATATCTGAAGAGGGCTGGATACCACCTGGTGACGTTGACAGAGGCTTCGCAGCGGAGAGATACCAGTGACATGCTACACACAAGGAATGTCATAGATAGCAGAATAAAATCATCTGTATTTTATCATGCGGACGATAATATAGTTATCGCATCCAATAGAGACCCTCTTATTCTCAAACAGTCCATTGAAACAGATTGTTTAAATTTGGTTAACTGGTTTAGTAAAACCCAAATGAGAGCAAATCCTAATAAATTTCAAGTCATATGTTTAGGCAGAAAATCTATTGATGCTTTTACTTCTTTTGAAATAAAGAATTGTAATTATTAAACCTGAAAAAAACTGTAAAGTCACTTTGAGTAAATTTTGACTATTTATCAAATTTTGATGCTTATATTTCAGAAATTTGCTTGAAGACAACTAAATGTTCTCAAAAAAGAATTGGAAGTGTTTTAACTAAGCAAAGTAGATAGGTCATATACAATTCGTTAATTACACCGAGTTTCAATTTTGCCCTCTGGTTTGGCATTTCACAAATACGAAAAGTTTTAATGCCCGAATTATACATATAAATCGCCCGATTCTGCCTGATCCTGTAAATCGCCTTTCGATCTGGCGTGACCAAAATCGTATAACCGATACCAGAGCCACTTGAAAATCGTGCAATACTACCCCGCGAACCGATCCTGTAAATCGTATAACCAGAGCCACCTGGCGGTAAAATCAGAATAATCGTGGCCGTCAAAACTACCCCGACAACACTAGATGACACGTAGACATTCATATATAACAATATGGAAGGCGACGACAGAAATAGACATGTCCAAATGAACCGAGAGAAGGTGAATATTATCACAAACAACTGTTTACTTTGCAACTTCTGTGCAATATGTCTATTCGAAAATGCCGGTAACTCGATGTGGGGTGTCGGTTAGGAGACTGCGCGCCTCAACAAAGATGCCAAACGTCATTTTCGAAAGTGAAAGCTATTAAAACCATTTGCATTCGTTCTCTTGTCATTATTTCATCATTTAAAACTTGTGTAACTAATGTCCGGTGTACATTGAACGGGGACGTTGTCAAAACTGTGGATTCCGAGGTTCATCGGGATGTATCAGTTAACCTGTGAAGTGGCGAAAGCCTGCAGAAAAGGGAGAAACTTGTTGCACGCTATAGGATCGGAATGTACCCACACTAAACCACTAACATCCATAGGCATTTATAGGAAAGTTATACTACCAGCTGTGTTATATGGATCGGAGATGCGGAATAACCTAACAGCAAAAGACAAAGAACAATTAGACGTATTACGTTGCCAAAATGATTCTTAATGTCAGAAAATCTTCGAAATGGGATATGTGTGAGACTATTCTGGGCATTAATAAAATTAATGGTGAAACTGAAACGAGGAAATTAAAGTTTCTACACTGTCTAATCAGTAGTCCACCAAATCTTCATTCGTAGACTCGTACCATTTTCAGAACATGAAAAAAGGTCTACGAAACAGGGTGATTCGTGCCAGATATAATTGACATTCTTCAAAAGTACAAGTTAACATCGTATATAAACCAATATCAAAAGGTATGTTTAAACAGTTCATATTCTTGTGGAGGGCTCATTGAGGCAGGGGTTCTGCAAGGCTCTATTCTAGGCCCACTTTTATTTCTTATTTTTCTGAATGACATAGCAGATATTTTTTAATCGACGTCTCGCCTTTTTGCAGACGATACGTCATTACCTAAGTCATCCTCATCTTGTCTAGAAATTCAAGAAACGATAAATAGAGACCTAGAGACTTTAATTAATTGGTCCAAAACTTGGCTAAGATGTATTATTTATTTCAAATTCCAGATATCGAAGAAGACTTAGATTTACAATTTGATGGGAAAGTTTTAAAATTTTACAGATATTCATAAACATTTAGGTCTAACCTTTAATTCGAATGCAGAGTGGAGGGATCACGTAAATGAAATGTACACTTCGGTTTTGAAAAAAAAAATCAATATCTTAAGGAAATTGAGTTGTGGGACAGTTGCAGTATGTTTGAATCAGAAAAGTTAGAAAAAGCCCAACGTGAAGCGGCTCGCATTATATTAAGACTGCCTTCACAATCCCCTATTAATACTTTATACTACGAAACGGATCTTGAATCACAGAAAAATGAGGAAACTTCAACTAATGAATAAGATGTGTAATAAATTAACTCTTGAATACCTTAATAATATTTTGCTGCCTTTATCTGGCGAAAATAATCGTTACGAATTACAATAATAACTATAATATTCCTCCTTTCAGACTGTCACTAACTAATTCGTCTTTTCTACCTTCTACTCTTTACTGTTGGAATAACTTAGAAAATTCGGTGATAAATTACTATGGTATTCAAGCGTACTTGCTGTTGTCTCAAATGGCAGAAGAAGACGTTGTTATTACTCTATTCAAAGGAACCATTGACTGTCATGATTTTTATGACAAAACAGAGTACTTTGAATTTGTGCAGGACAATGCTTATTTCCTCTGAAATTGGCACAGATCTATTTCAATGCTGCGGATCTGATATAATGTGACTAACCAGTTTTAATGCAAGGGTGATTACACCCCTCTCCAAAGAACAATGATATAGTGAGCGATAACGTAATATGCATTAACCACAACTTGTACGTTACATAACTTCATATTCTTTCTTTTAATTTTCTTTTGTATACTCTCATGTTTGAGGAACAGAGGATGATGATGACTGGGGCATTGGTCAGCTAAAAGTTTCTTGTGTGCCCAGTAAATGTCATCAATATTATCAAAAACATAAGCAGCATGGAAAGGAATTTTCCCTTCATCAGCATTAAAAGCTTTGTCATCAAAGTTTTTTTAAATTATCTTACCTTTATATATAGGCTTAGAATAGTTGTGATCATATTATACCAATCACTAAGTGCACAGTTAAAAGAAATTGTACTGAATAAAAAATTTTGACTGTTTGTTAAAATCAACTAGAGAAGGGTTGCAGTTCTTCATAAAACATGCAGGAGACTTAATAAGATTCTTCATATCAAAGAGATTGCATACATCATTTAAAATATTTTCAATATTAAGCATATTTATATTCATGTCACATCGGATGATACACCTTGCATCCCCGATATGTTTTGTAATACATTAGGTAAAACTTATGTGCCTAAAGTTCAACAATTTTCAGGTGAGATCCCAGTTCATATAAGGGTAGTGTCATATTTCGAGTGGCGATCGAGATGAAGTGTTTACTTAATGATCCGGCTGTAACACACAGTACGTTGGTTCAAGCCATTAGACGTTCGTTGCGGGGTACTGCTAGAACTATGCTGATTCCTTTATGTGATAAAGCTACTGTTGATGATATGCTGAAGAAACTTGATACTTTGTTTTGGGATGTATCAACAATTGGTATGATCGTGCAAGAATTTTTCAATGCATTTCAGAAACCTGAAGAGAATGTTACTGATTTTGGTTGCAGGCTGGAAGTTATGCTAAAGAATGCTATTGACCATGGCTATATGCATAAGAGTTCTAAAGATGATTTGTTAAGGAATAAGTTCTGAACAAACTTAAAGTCAGAAAAGTTGAAGAGTCACACTCGTCATAAGTATGACAGTCTTGAGGGTTTTGATGAGTTTTTAAGGGAGATTAGAACAGTAGAGAAAGAGCTGAGTATCAGGTCCACTTGTGATGGTCTATCTGGTAAGAAAGTGTCACAAAATGCTGTAACTTCTGATTCTGTTGATAGGATTGATCCTCTGGAGAAGAAATTTGATGAGAAATTAGGATCCATGGAAAGAAGGTTAGATTCAAAGATAGAAAAGAAGTTCGATATGATTCTTCACAAGCTGGATGACAGGAGTGCTGGAGTAGCAGCTAGGGGTAATGAAGGTAATCCTAGATCTAATTTTCAGAGATTTCAGTGTGGCGGACGTTACCAGAGGGGTTACAGAAATAACTGTGGTAACCGTGGACAATATCGTGGTCAGTCAAGGAATGAAAGTACATGTAATGAGGAGAAGCCAAAATAGTAACGGTTTCTGATGTTGGTCGATTGGAAACCGTACAATGTCCAGACCAAAATGTTTTATCTAGAGTTGTAGGCTCATCGAACCAAAGCCCAGTTTGCATTGATGGTCAGGAGATGAACTCGCTCCTTGACAGTGTTTCAATGATAACCTCGATTTCTGAGACAGGTTTTAGGAATTTAAGAAGCCATCCTACTCTTCATTCATTAGATCAGTTAGGGTTACAAGCTTGTGTTGCTGATGGTTCTAAACTGAATTACAAGGATATATATAATGTCTCATTTCTGTACCTTTCTTTACAGAGTTTGACTTTCCTATTCCTATTTTGGTTGTTCCTGACACAAAATTCAACACGGACTGTCCATTGATTGTTGGTACACATGTTCTGAGGTTGTACAAGGAGGTGGTGGCAAGGGAGACAACTGATGTGCCTCAAGCATGGCATCTTGCTATGAAAGGTATACAGACTAACAGTGTTGTGGTTAAATCTGCCAATAAGAGACCTGTACAGTCTACTGCTATACGGGGTCGTGCACGTGTTCGTAACCATGACAGCACAAGTATAGGTGTTGTTACTGAGAATCTCAGTGCTGGTAGTAAGTTTGATGTCTGCCCCAGAGTACTTAAATCGGGTAACCAGTTGGCAAATAGTATTAGAGTTCCTGTTCGGATATGCAATGCAACTGCAAAGTCGTTGACTGTTTGACCTCATCAGATCTTTGTACTATTAATGAAGTTCAGATTGTAGATAACTTAGCTTCATCTATTAATGCTGCTGATTCCCAGGGAAAAGATTCTGCAACTTCTGTGTTGTCTGAGCTTGGTATTAAGCTGGATGCGTCATCCTTAAAACAGATGATCAGGCAAAGGTTTGTGGCTTTTTGTCAAACTGGAAACATGTTTTTCTACAGGACAAATTGATTTGGGTAACACTGATTTGGTAAAGCACAAGATCAAGCTTGGAGATGATGTTCCTTTCAAACAACCCTATCGTCGGATTACACCAGGTTTTTATGAGGAAGTTCGTCAGCATGTTCAGGAGATGTTGGACGCTGGAGTAATCAGAGAATCTGATAATCCACATTATTCCAATGTTGTTTTGGTTCGGAAGCGTGACGGATCTGTGAGGTTTTGTAAAGACTTCCGCATGCTTAATGCTTGTACTCATAGGGATGCTTACATGTTACCAGGGTTTGATGATGTTATTGATGCTATTATTGTCGATTCATCAAGGAGTATACTAAGATTGTTGAGCCTTTGAATTCTTTATTACAGGGACATGGCTCTACCATGAAGTCAAGGAGAAAGACGGTTGTTGTTCCGTGGTCTTGGGGTGAATCAAATGATGCTGCATTTCAGGATATCATGCAGAAGCTTGTGCAACCTCCTATTCTAGCATACGCTGATTATAGTAAGCCCTTCATTCTACATACAGATTCGAGTGGTAGAGGACTTGGTGCGATTCTGTATCAAGTACATGAAGGAAATGAGAGGGTGATTGCATATGCTAGCAGAGGTTTGCGTCCTATTGAGCGCAATTATCCTGCGCATAAGCTAGAATTTTTAGCTTTGAAGTGGGCAATTTGTGACAAATTCCATGACTATTTGTACAATAATTCCTTTCAGATTATTACAGATAACAATCCTCTGACTTATGTTTTGTCAAAGGCCAAGTTGGATGCCATGAGCCATAGATGGGTAGCTGCTTTAGCTGTGTATGACTTTTCTATTTCATACAGAGTGGGACAATTTAATGCTGATGCAGATGGCTTATCTCGTCGCCTACAGATGTTTGCGGATATGGTGAAAGCTGTAGGTCATTCTGCAACTGCCTCTGTTCCTTAAGTTGACAGTGCGTCTGGAGATTTGATTCCTCATTCGTCTGGTGAGGAGGAAGCATCACTAGACTTCTTCAGTAAGGTTGATTGGTGTAAGGTTCAGAGGGATAATAGAATTCTTTCTCAGGTTATCCATTTGTTGAGTAGTGATTTTCTTAGCAGGGAAGAAGAGTATACAGAGAGACAGCGGCAGTACTGTGGTACCTCCGGGAGTCTAAACGTCTACGCTTTGATACAGGATTTTGTATAGGATCACTACTCAAGATGGGGAGAAACTTGAGAAGTTGGTTATACCCCAGGCGTTTAGGGAGTAGGCACTACGTGGTGTGCATGATATGGTAGGTCACCAGGGTAAGGAAAAGACGTTGTGGTTGGCTCGTCAACGGTTTTATTTGCCAGGGTTAGAGAAGGACATTGATTTTAAGGTTGAGAGTTGTGAACGATGTATCGGGAGAAAATCACCTGTGAAACCTGTTTCGGAACTGGTTCCATTATCTTCATCTAGACCAATAGAGTTGGTATGTATGGACTTTTTATCTTTAAAAAGATCAAAAGGGGGTTACGAGCATATTTTAGTTATCACTGACCATTTTATTAGATATGCACAACCAATACCTTGTCGTAACCAAACAGCCCATACTACGGCTAAAGCTCTGTATGAGAATTTCATTGTTTTCTACCGCTTTCCAGAAAGACTGCATAGTGATCAAGGCAGGAATTTTGAGAGTCGTGTCATTAAAGAACTTTGTTGGCTTGCATGGATCCGCAAGACCAGAACAACTCCTTATCACCCACAGGGAAACAGCAGCACAGAGAGATTCAACCAGACAACTGAAAATGCTCACTACCATGGAGGAGGACAAGAAGGCTGATTGGCGAACTTATGTAGCTCCATTGGTGCTGGCATACAATACAAGGAAAAGTTATGCTACTGGTTATTCACCACATTATTTGATGTTTGGTTGGCATCCTTGGCTTTCTCAGCTTAAATTCTAGGCAGATGAAAGATCATGAGAATGATGCTGGTAAGCTGAAGGAGCGAATGAGGTTTGCATACCAGGTTACATCTGATGAGTCTGGAAATCAAGCTGAACGCAACAAGGAGAGGTACGATCAAAGCATGAGAGAGACGAAGCTGAAAGGTGGAGACAAGGTTCTGGTAAGGAAAGTCGGTTTAAAAGGCAAACAGAAGTTGGCTGATTGTTGGGAGCAGGGGAGTTACATGGTATTGGGTAGGCCGAATGATGACATTCCGGTATATAGGGTTAAAGGTGAGACGGGTAAAGGACAGATTAGGACCCTTCACAGAAATATGTTATTACCCTTTGACTCATTGCCTGCTAATGTAGGTAACACATCAAAACCATGTTCTTCTTTACAGAAAAAGTCAGTAAATATTCCTTCTGATAGAAGTGATTCTGAATCTTGTTCAGATGCTGGTAGTGATGTATCTCAGAATGTTTACATTATCCCACATAGAAGAGGTCAGAGAATAAATTCTCAGGTAAATTTCAGAACAAGTACAAAAACCAGTGGTAGTAATCAGGGAGCACAAGCAGGTTCGAAGGAAAGCAGAGTGAGGGAAGAGAGTGGAGCAGGTTGAAAAGTGTTGAGCAACCAGTAGTTGCCACAGAACTGCTGAGAATCAGCAGAGACCAATACGAAACAGGAAACCACCAGACAGGTTTGGTCGTTGGGTTTATCCACAGATTGCAACAGTGTATTATGTTTCGTATTGGGACAGTGATATGATAACATATTATTAGACTATTATCATATTGTTATAGATGTTCTATATATATGCATCAGTTAATATTAATTGATTTATCCACTTTACAGATATTAAAAATATTATAATGTCTGGAGACATTTTCATCCACCAGGGGAATATGTAACCTGGTGTTCCATGTGTTGTCTATTGTATAGTTTTGTGATGTCACACGTATTTGTCATGCAAGTGTCTTGTGTTCCGAACTGTACTAATTTGAATAAAATACATTCCTATGCGCATGCTATACTCCGTCGCGGCACACGCTTTAGCATGGTTTTCAATCAGTTCATATATTGTCGTCGACTAGACTTGACCTACAGAACTTGACAATTTATACACTGCCTTGCCTGGTATGTTTAGTTTATTTTATTATTTAAATGTTATTAGTTTGATACGTTTGCATGTATTCAGTTTAGTTACTTTTACTGAATTATCCATGTGCAATATTATTTCTATTAAGTTCAGCACTTAAGTTTCGTTTTGTTTATCGTTTTGTCACTTGAGTTATGTTCCGTTTTATTGTCTTTGTAGGTTGTCTTTATTCTACGTGTATTTGTTAATACAACTCATAATTGAATCCAAGCTGCATTTTTTTATTTCTTCGACGCCCCGGCTACATTCACATCTCCCATAATCTTAAAATGGTCGTACTGAGCACTGATCTTATCTAAACCGATAGTCAGATCTTCATAGAGTCATTAAGTTTGGTCTCTAAGGAAAAGAATGTTTGCTACTGACTTCCTCAGGATCTACTTATAGTTACTTATAGTTGATTTCCAGTACAGGAATTAAAATTCCTCTTCACCGGACTCGTTGTTGTTAATCAATGTAGTTCTGTCACTTCCATTCTTTTTTATATCTGCTCTGTAGCTGTAATACAGCTCCTGGTGTTTCCATTGTTTATCCAGGCGATTTTTGAATGTGTTAGTGTCTAGGTCAAGTCGTTGTATTTGAAGCGAATACTGTCAATATTAATAAAAAATACTATCAAGTTCCTTGTTTATTTACCTCTTAAGTCAAACAGTTCCTTAAAGGGATTTTCATCCGTGTCCGACTCTAGCGTCGTCAGATTACCACTGTTTACATCGGATGTTGTTGTGATCGAGGGGAAATCACTCTCTTCAGTCATCCGGTCCGGTAGGATGTGTATTCTATCGGGGTTTTCAATGGAATTATCAATGGTGAAAAGCAAATCCGATCATGCGGGAAAATTTGATGTCACAAAATACTACTAGTCTGATAAATTAGACAGGCCAATGTTGTTAATATATTCGATTACGGTCATATTAATGCCCTTTCTGTAAAACCAGTAAAGACATTCGTTGCACTGGTTCCAGAGCCACCTGGCGGAAAATTCAGAATAATCGTGGCCGTCAAAACTACCCCGCCAACACTAGATGACACGTAGCCATTCATATAGAAGCCGACGACAGAAATAGAATGCACAAATGGACCGAGAGAAGGTAAATATTATCACAAACAACTGTTTACTTTATAATCTCTCTACAACATGTTCATTTGAAAATGCCGGTAACTTGATGCGTGGTGTCTGTTGGGAGACTTCGCGCCTCAACAAAGATGCCAGACGTCATTTTCGATAGTGAAAGCTATAACCATTTATATTCGTTCTTTTGTCATTCAATAAAAACATGCAAATGTAGATGCTGTATTTGTCATCCATTATATATAACAATACCAAAAACGAATGGACGACACAGTCCTAGATACAACACATAAGAAAATAAACAATCTATTTTTAGAAACGACCCTGAGGCTGGGAGGGGGTCGCCATGATTCATGGCAGTGTGTTTCAGTGCTTGTGATTATTAACAGTGCCATCTGTCCGATTTCATCCTGTTTAAATGAAATGAAGTGTATGCTTAATAATTTTCTTTACAATTACTAAATCCATGCATAAACTTTTAGTAATGTTTATGTAAATGGATATGTCTGTTAGTTGTAGGCCAATGCATAGAAATTGAGAGCCCTTTCTGATCTCAGTATTTACCTTTGGATACCTTAGGATCTTCTATGGACGCTGGTCTATTCGACCACTCTGTCCGCATCTAAATTATCAGTGTCGTCATTTGTATTGTTTACATGACATTTTCCGGTGTTGTCAATGTCCGAGTTGTTATATTTTACATCCTGGTCTTTCCAAAATTTATCCAATCTTGCTTCAAAACATTTAGTAGTTTTTGCATGCACCACTGATTCGTGTAGATTATTCCAGATTTCCACTGTTCGGTTAGTGAACCTGAACTTCCTCACATATGTGCTACAGCATTGCTTTTGTACTTTAAGACTGTGCCCACTTGCAGATGTGCTTTTTGTTTTATCAAAGAATCCATCAGTTACTTTTTTGTCGTATATAGCACTCATGATCTTAAATATCTCCTCTTAAACGTCTATATTTCAGTGTTCGCATCTTTAGTTTCTTCAGTCGGTCGCTCTAATCCAGGTCTTTTAATGATGGAATTTGCTTTGTTGCCCTCCTTTGGACATTTTCTATAAGGTTGATGTCCTGCTTTTGGTATGGCAACCATACTGCTTGAGTGTACTCTACATGAGGTCTTACTAGTGCCTGGAGCAAATATCTTAAACTAACCTCGTCCAAGTAGCTGCATGTTCTCCTAATTAGACCCATGATACTGTTTGCTTTGTTCACTTACTGTTGAATATGTTTTCCTAAGTTGAGACGGTTGTCAACTAACACACTGATGTCATTTTCACCCTCCGAGTGCTCCAAATCTACTTATTCGCCATTTTGACTGTATAAATGGTACATATACTCTCCTTTGGAACATTTTACATATTGTAAAATGGTTTACCTTGAAAATCAAAGAAGTGAAGTATACTGTTAATTTGAATTATATTAAGGGTTTGGGCCTGAATATTTCTGTAGAGTTCAAATTTAATTTCTGTTTCAAAAGGCTATATGGTTGCTTAAATGTCAATCTGATCTTGTTAAATCAAGTTACTTCATGTATATCATCGCCTTTACTTAAAATCATTGATTGGAGTAACTGGTAGAAAAAAAAACAGCATTTGGATGAATGAAATGGTAATTCAGATAAAATTTAAAATGTGTGCCACTAGTTCAGTGCTAAGTGCTTTAAAAAAATTCCAGACTGATGTGATGTAATGAAGGTTATTTTTATATATTCAGCCCATCTCATACAGTTTTATGGAGAAGATATATTTCATAATTCATAATTTAAATTCAATTGTACTGAATGTAATGTATTTAATTCCATCTTTGTCATGTTTTCCAAAAAATAAGATATTATCAAACTAAATATAACTTTACTTTTTGCAAATAACCTAATTATTTCTATAAAGAACATTCTGTAAAATAGATAAATAATTTCTGTATAGAATATATGATAGTATATTTGTAATATTAGTACCTAAGTCATGTCTGATGTCTGTTTTCATGTAAGAAGAAGATCAACACACGCTGACATCAAATTAAGATCAGAACACTTTAATCAAAATGATTGAACACAGGTGCGATTGGAGTGCTCCATTGTTGAAGTTTCACTGAAAAATACCTAAAAATTTGAAAATATCTACAGGAAAATAATGATCATTATAATCAACCCATGTTGTTTTTTTCTTCTTCAAACTCATTCATTGGAAAATCCTCTAGGTCAAAATTGCTCACTTGCATTTACTTGCCAAAGGACCATAACCTCCAGTGTGAATAATCTTTGGTTATTAAATTATTAGTCAGTCATTTCATAAATATCTTATTACAACTCCATATACCATGATAAACTCCAATTTTTTAAATTAAAAAAAACATGTTATGAAAATGGAAATTGTGGATTTCATTTTCAAAAATTCTCCTGTTCGGACCAAAATTTTACACTGGTGATTGCTGAATTTACCAAATTAAGCTGGTAGATCCAGTACTGAATATTATACTGATGCATTATACAAGGTGTATTGTATGATCTCTGTCTAGGGGGCATTTTTGTGTTTATCATAAAGCTGTTTAAGTCACAGACAATCTATATTTCTACATGCAGTTAACTTGTGTCCTTGGAATAGACATTCTTATCTTCTATATATAAAGCGTCAGTAAAGAAATCAAATAGCACAGGATGCTAAGCACAAGAAACAAACTAAGCCAATTTAAGATAACTACAGTTTAATCATAAGGAACTTGATGCCCTAGACATGTTGGTTTATCTAGACAGCTGTCACTTTAGGTTCTCTTGTCATAATTATTGATAAGTTTTAAGAATATATATTTTCTACTGGTGAAAAAGTGAAACCTTCACAAATGACTTCACCTTGAGATGCATTAAGAAATCTATTTTTAGAAAACCAGATTTTGTATACTGAATGTCTGACCTTGTTTTCATCTATGCACTTTTATTGTAAATAACAGGTTTTGATATTATCTCAGGGTTACTTTATTTACATTGAAGTAACATGGTGCATGTACAAATGTAAAGCATACATATGTATACAAAGGTACTTTTTATGAATGATAACCTAAAATTTCAGTTAGATAGCATACACCACTCAACCTATGGATTGAAATATTGCAACAGACATGTGTCTAAGGTTTACCTCATAAAATCATTATTTAATACCTATAAAATAATACCATTCTCTACTAACATTCAATTATAGAATACATCAAGAATTTTAAATTACTTATACTGAGTAAAGAATTTGTCTATCTGCTGAAATATTTTGTTTATGCATGAATGGATGCTTATCAGAATTATATGCTGTTTTTTCAGTTGTGAAACATAATTTTAGCTGGTGGATAAGTAAACATCAACATGTTAATAAAAGTTCAAAAAATGCATTTATGAGATAAAATAGTGATTGTTATACTAACATACTTACAGGTACCTATTGATTTGACAACAAATGTACATACAGGTATATGTGTACATACTCAATGGATCAGTGATTTAAACATATTTTATTATCAATAGCTGATAAATGGATCAGAGACAAGTTCTAGCAACTTATGAACTCTTCTCCGTTAAGATAGGTGAATGTACATACAGATACAAGTGTTTATATTCAATGGGATCAGTGAATGTACATACAGGTACATGTGTACATATTCAATGGATTAGTGAATGTACATACAGGTACATGTGTACATATTCAATGGAGCAGTGAACGTACATACAGGTACATGTGTACATATTCAATGGAGCAGTGAATGTATATACAGGTACATGTGTACATATTCAATGGGGAAGTGAACGTACATACAGGTACATGTGTACATATTCAATGGATTAGTGAATGTACATACAGGTACATGTGTACATATTCAATGGAGCAGTGAACGTACATACAGGTACATGTGTACATATTCAATGGAGCAGTGAATGTATATACAGGTACATGTGTACATATTCAATGGGGAAGTGAACGTACATACAGGTACATGTGTACATATTCAATGGATTAGTGAATGTACATACAGGTACATGTGTACATATTCAATGGAGCAGTGAATGTACATACATGTACATGTGTACATATTCAATGGATTAGTGAATGTATATAAGGGTACATATGTATATATTCAATAGTTTCTTTGACATTCCCAAGTGTCCGTTCTGTTTTACAAATGTGGCATAACAAGTACATATGTATAAATGTAAATTTTGGTTGTTTTAGAAATTTTCAGTAAAATTAAATAGTGATTAATGTTATACCCACTACATATATTATACAGGAACTGGAGTTTGCTGTACATAAGAGGGATGAAATCATACAACAGCTTTCAGCCCAGTTACAACATCTTACAGCACAAAGTTACAGCGAGGAAGCCACACATCTTGCACAACAGGTGCAGATTTTACAAAGTCAACTACAGCATGTAAGTAATTGTGTAGCTATAGTGACACTGTCAGCTATAACCTGTAAGTACTTGTGTGAAAACTGTGTTATTATAGTAATGTAGGGCTGTGTCACACAGTGACAGTGTCAACTATAACCTGTAAGTACTCGTGTTAATACTCTGTTATTACAGCAATGTAGGACTGTGTCACATGGTGACACTGTCAGCTATAACCTGTAAGTACTCGTGTTAATACTCTCTGTTATTACAATAATGTAGGACTGTGTCACACAGTGACAGTGTCAACTATAACCTGTAAGTACTCGTGTTAAAACTCTCTGTTATTACAATAATGTAGGACTGTGTCACACAGTGACAGTGTCAACTACAGCATGAATATTAGTGTTAAAATTCTCTTTAGCGTTAATAATGTAGGACTGTGTCACACAGTGACAGTGTCAACTACAGCATGAATATATTAGTGTTAAAATTCTCTTTAGCATTAATAATGTAGGACTGTGTCACACAGTGACAGTGTCAACTACAGCATGAATATTAGTGTTAAAATTCTCTTTAGCGTTAATAATGTAGGACTGTGTCACACAGTGACAGTGTCAACTACAGCATGAATATTAGTGTTAAAATTCTCTTTAGCGTTAATAATGTGGTACTGTGTCACACAGTGACAGTGTCAACTACTGCATGAATATATTAGTGTTAAAATTCTCTTTAGTTGATATGTTCATATCGATGCTGTCTGATGGGTGGGGCCAACAGGGTCAAATTGACTTAAATTTCAAAAAGCGCTTCTTGTTATTACCTGGGTATGCTAGTATCAGTTGCTCTTCATGGATGGAAGTGTCTTCAGGTGCTTCACCAAAATAGCTTTCACAATTGTTCTTGGGGCGGCGGTTAATTTTAAAGTAAATTTTATAGTAAAATTGCGTTTTTGAGCTTGAAATTATTTATTTCCCATTGGAAATATAACTTTGTAAGAATTATCAGTGTAGGATGACACTTTTGATGGTATGCAAGTATTGACACTGGCTTATCGTATCATTAATGTTACAATTTCTTTTCATAACACTTGAAGGCTTCTTACCCTCAAACCTTTATATTCAATATTGCCAGGTAGCCATCAAGGCCGCTAGGCCTCTTGTTTTATTTATTTTTATCCCAGAATGAATTTTTTTAACTTGCATTGTCAACTTTAGGTCTAGCTTACAAATTATTGATATATTGTGTCTGAAAATTAGCTGAAGATAAGCAACTCCTTCATATGAATGTCATGGGATATTTATATGTTGTTAACACAAATGATCTTCTTGTATTCTATAGTGAAACCATCTGAAAAAAAATTAATAAAAAAAGACTGACAAAGATGACATTGATACAGGGGATTAATATATTATTCAAGAGAGTTTCTATACCTGTAATGTGTGGACAGGTAATCAACATTAGGTACATATGGTCTGCTCTTATATGTTATATATGCCTATTGATTAAAATCTTTGACATATGGACACTTACTATATATACACGTATGTGCACAATGGTCAGTGTAGTTTTCTGTCACATCTGATAGGCAATCACGGAATACTGATACTGATACCTGGACTGTTGCTCCTTTGCTACGGCAAGGAATGGGTTTTGGGCCATTTATTGGACATACAGACATTTCAGTTTAATGAACTTGTGCTTTTTCTGTGTATAAATGATGTTGCAGACTTACATGGAAAATTCCTTTGAAACTCCTAAAAAATGTAGTACAGAAATTGTCTGATCAACATGTAAGTAGTAGCCTATATTGTACTGTACTTGTAAATATCATTGATACTGTGAATATTTGATATCATTTGCATTTTTTTCCCCCTTTTCATTCTTCAGGGGAAGAATTTTTCATTTTAAGATATGATAAAGCATTGCTTAAAAAACCCTGTAAATAGATGATGTCTTGAATCATTACATAGAATTCAATATGGGATTAGCAAAAGTCTGTCACGAATGTTTTTAAAGACATTATTCTGAACCACACCAATGTCCTGTGGAATAGATTGATGATGTATGTAAAGCATAAGTAGGGGTGGAAGTGGTTCGGAATGGTAATGGCATTGAGAGAAGGGGGATGATGTGGTGAGGGGCATGAATTTGAGCAGGTGGGAAAGGGATGAAGAGTTAGAGCCAGGATTGAAGGGGCAGGGATTTATAACAATACACAACTTCCTGTTGGCAGTGTTGACATATTAAATGACAATCTTGCTGTGCAATGTAAATTGTGAAAACATTTATGAACGGCTTTGTGTCAACTTCAAATATTTATTTTGCATATATGGCCATGGAAACACTTAAGATATTCTTGCACAAAAATGAAACAGGTCTGGAAGTGTGTTGTACATTAATTATAATCATTCTCAAATGAACCAATTGTAATTAGCTTGGTATATACATGTATTTTGTACTTCCAAATCAATATATTTCTATATTTGTCTTCAAAAGCATGTCAAATTTGGATTACTCGTAAATGTTTCGGTAAATATTTTCTGCATGTATGTAAATGGATTTTACATTAAGAAAGGTGTCATGAAGGTACATCTGTCGTAGTTGGACCATGACTGACCAATCATTAATCAGATTATAGTGTCATGAGTTGGTCAAGCAGTAAGTGGTCATCTGGTCATGGATACCATTATGGTTAGTCGAAAAGCATTGATAAGGTGGCTAAGATCACCTGGGTACCATGTCCTCTGCAACAGCTTGTGCATGTTCTGTCCCTCCATGTTACATATTAGTTGTGTACTCTCTGTGATAATGGACCGGACCTGTTCTTTACATGTAGCTAGATACAAGATTATGCAGAAGAAGCAGAATTCAAACAGGTGATAATTTTTTGTCTGATTTCATTTTGTTTCGTTGTTAAATTTTTAGTGTTTGATTGAAAAAAAGGTGTTCTTTCAATTCTTTTGTAGAATTTTATACTACAAAGTTGAGATTCATTTTTTGTTTTAGTTCTTTTTAACTATGGCTCAGCATTTTATTGAATTCCTTTTCCTGTTTTAACATTAATTTCTACGATATTTGATAAAATAGAGGTAAATGTAAGTTAGAGAAAATGTCATTGTTGGCATGGCTGATATTCAGGATTTATAGTAACATGGACAGATATCCAGACTTAAGGTTTGGAGGGAGAAATAAGTTGTATTTATGGTTGCATTGAGATTAAGGCTTTCAAGCTTTACACTATTGGGAGAGATATTTCTAGAATGAAAAGTTGATGGGAGAGATATTCAGGACTAATGGTTGGTCCAAGATATCAAGGACTAATGGCTGATCCGAGATATCTAGGACTAATGGTTGGTCGAGATATCCAGGACTAATGGTTGGTCGAGATATCCAGGACTAATGGTTGGGCAGAGATATCCATCTCCAGGACTAATGGTTGGTGGAGATATCCAGGACTAATGGTTGGTCAGAGATATCCAGGACTAATGGTTGGTCAGAGATATCCAGGACTAATGGTTGGTGGAGATATCCAGGACTAATGGTTGGTCCAGATATCCAGGACTGATGGTTGGTCAGAGATATCCATCTCCAGGACTAATGGTTGGTGGAGATATCCAGGACTAATGGTTGGTGGAGATATCCAGGACTAATGGTTGGTCAGAGATATCCAGGACTAATGGTTGGTCAGAGATATCCAGGACTAATGGTTGGTGGAGATATCCAGGACTAGTGGTTGGTCAGAGATATCCAGGACTAATGGTTGGTCAGAGATATCCAGGACTAATGGTTGGTCAGAGATATCCAGGACTAATGGTTGGTCCAGATATCCAGGACTAATGGTTGGTCAGAGATATCCATCTCCAGGACTAATGGTTGGTCCAAGATATCCAGGACTAATGGTTGGTGGAGATATCCAGGACTAATGGTTGGTCAGAGATATCCAGGACTAATGGTTGGTCAGAGATATCCAGGACTAATGGTTGGTGGAGATATCCAGGACTAATGGTTGGTCCAGATATCCAGGACTGATGGTTGGTCAGAGATATCCATCTCCAGGACTGATGGTTGGTGGAGATATCCAGGACTAATGGTTGGTCCAGATATCCAGGACTAATGGTTGGTCAGAGATATCCAGGACTAATGGTTGGTCAGAGATATCCAGGACTAATGGTTGGTGGAGATATCCAGGACTAATGGTTGGTCAGAGATATCCAGGACTAATGGTTGGTCAGAGATAGTATTGTAGTGGAGATATATCTGTACTCTAAGGTTGACATCAGAGATATTCAGCCTTCAGGGTTGTAGTGGAGAGATATCTGTGCTCTCAGGTTGACTACAGAGATATACAGCCTTCAGGATTGTAGTGGAGAGATATCTGTGCTCTAAGGTTGACTACAGAGATATCCAGTCTTCAGGGTTGTAGTGGAGAGATATCTGTGCTCTAAGGTTGACTACAGAGATATCCAGCCTTCAGGGTTGTAGTGAAGAGATATCTGTGCTCTAAGGTTGACTACGGAGATATCAAGCCTTCAGGGTTGTAGTGGAGAGATATCTGTGCTCTAAGGTTGACTACAGAGATATCCAGCCTTCTGGGTTGTAGTGGAGAGATATCTGTGCTCTAAGGTTGACTACAGAGATATCCAGCCTTCAGGGTTGTAGTGGAGAGATATCTGTGCTCTAAGGTTGACTACGGAGACATCAAGCCTTCAGGGTTGTAGTGGAGAGATATCTGTGCTCTAAGGTTGACTACGGAGACATCAAGCCTTCAGGGTTGTAGTGGAGAGATATCTGTGCTCTAAGGTTGACTACGGAGACATCAAGCCTTCAGGGTTGTAGTGGAGAGATATCTGTGCTCTAAGGTTGACTACGGAGACATCAAGCCTTCAGGGTTGTAGTGGAGAGATATCTGTGCTCTAAGGTTGACTACGGAGACATCAAGCCTTCAGGGTTGTAGTGGAGAGATATCTGTGCTCTAAGGTTGACTACGGAGACATCAAGCCTTCAGGGTTGTAGTGGAGAGATATCTGCTCAAAGATTGACAGCAGAGATATTAAAGCTTTTAGTGATGGTTGAGAAGATATTCAGGTCTGACAAGGGTTTGACTAGAAAGAAATCTTGGAGATTTAAGGGCCATCTGGAATGAAATCCTGTCTTCCAAATACCTGTAGATGTGTTGTAGGTTTGACTGGACAGATGTCCAAGTTTAGAGTTGACAGGAAATATATCAAAATGCTACGGTTTGCTGGAAAGATATCCAAACTTGAGTGATGGTTAGAGGGATATCAAGGCTTTAGAACAGGCATGAGAAATCTCGGAGGCCATTGCTGGAGAAATGTCCAGGCTTTAAGGGGGGAAAGACAGTTACTGAGGATAAAGAGTAGAAAATATATCCATTCCATGCTTAACTCCCTGGGCCCCGATTGAAATTTCTCTGTCCACATCACACAGTGGTATTTTCTTCTTCAGCTATCATTGATATCTTTTAAAAATACCTCAGATTTGTAATTGTGAATCAAAGTATTCCCCTCGAAGTGATATAACACTGATGTTAATGGCAATGCGTTTATAATAAAGTCGGGTTTGAGCCCTCGTATCCGCATGTAGGTTAATGAATATTTCTTTTCATTGGAAAACATGGGAATGCACTTGTGAAGTGTATGGTAAAAAAAGACACAACAATGTTGGATACCAGAAATTGATAAGATGAACAGATATTGAGTTAACATTAAAGACACAGGCTCACAAGAATTATAGAAATGAATGGTGCTTCAACAAATGTCCATAGTATTGTTAGTGATTAAGTTATTGGAACAAATGACTGTTAAACAATATAAGATTTAAAATCATTGCAGCCCTGGAAATGAAATATCTCATTTCAGTGCAGTATAATGTTAAAGTTTGCTTGGTTAGAAATAGTAACCAGATGGTAATTCAGATCTAATAAAAATACAACATATTAAAATTTGGAGAAAATCAATGTCGGTTCTATTTGCTGCTTACGTTTGAAGTAGATATAACTATTTTCTATGTTGCTAGAACACTTGTTTTTATATATTTTTATTTCTATGGGTGTTTCAGGCTGGAAAAGTACTGCAGTCACAGACAGACAAGCAAGCACAAACATCTCATGCACTTCAAGACGCAACGCAAGAAATTGTGTCCCTCCAACAGACCATCACAGACAAGGACGGTATGATGAATCAGCTGGCAGAAAGACTCGATCTAATCTCAAAGGAATACACTAAACTTAAAGAATCACATGAGACCACAAAGCTACGCGAAAAACAGACCAATGAGGTTGTTCAGAAGCTCATGATGGATGCAGAACAAATGCGGAAACAGAAATCAGAAATTTCAAATTCCAACAGTATGTCTGGTCCCTCTAGTCCAGTTAGTCCAATACCAGTAGTTAGTCAAGGAATGGTTAGTGAATCAGAGGTCAAAGCCAAAATGGACGCATTACGAAGTGAACTAGAGGAAACATACGGGCTACACTTCGCTCAGATGAAACAGGCAGTGGTTCAACAGTTTCAGGAGGAGAAGGTAGCTCTTGATTCAGAACTAGTCAAGGTGAAGACAGCCCTGGAGAAAGCGATGAGAGAGAATGCTGATTATCACAATCGACTTGAACACTACATAAGCACTGACAATGAAGTTGGGCAATTTCAAGAGGAATGCAATATGTATAAATCACAATGTGACCAGTTGAGGAAACTTGTGGAACAGTTTCAGGCACAGAATGAGGATTATTGTAAAAGACTCCAGGATTCTGAACTGGCAGCTACCAATGTAAAGGAACTACAGGATGAATGTGTTTTATACAAATCTCAAAATGATGAGTTGAAGAATAAAATAAATTGTCAGCAAGATTCAGTAGTTAGTTTACAATCTGATTTGGACAATCTGATGTCGGAAAACATTCGGCTGAGAGAGCAAATGAACCTATTGTCACAGGATCTGGATTCTCAGAACACAGAAATTGAGGAAGCTTTCCTGGAAAAAAGCCAATATATTGAGAAAGCAAAGAAATTGGAGGAAGAAGTTGCTTTACTCAAGTCAGAAAACGAGGAGTTCAGAAGTAATAATTTAAAGATGGAGGATACAATTTCCTCTTTGAAGGAAGCTCTTAGTGAGTCTGAAACATCTCAACAAAGGGTTGAATCTACTGTATTAGCTCAGGGGAAGTCGGATGCAGGGATTAAGATTGACGGTGTGACATCAAGTGAATCAAATGATGAAAAAGAGAGTGTGATAGAAGAATCACTTTCTCTTGTTCACCAAACTCCATCGAAGGAAATGCCCACAGGTGCCACTGAATCAGGCGTCCAACTTGACGGACAATCTACCATGTGTGTTCAGGAAGACATTATGTTAGAGAATGCCTCTCTTGCCTTTAGTGTTCAGACACATGATGAGAGCTCTTTGTTGGGGACCAATTCTACATCAGTTTCATTGGAGCAAAACATGTCAAGTGATGCATCTAATGATAGTGAAGCCACTCTTACAAATGATAGCAGCAATGTAGCCGTAAATGAGTCCTCACTGCAATCAAATTCAGTAGTTACACAAAACGAACAGTATGTTTCTCAGATAGAGGCCTTAAAGGTAGACTTGGTCAGACTTGTGGATGAGAAAACATTTGCGTTGTCAGAGATTGAGAAATTAAGTGATGAAATTTTGGTGCTAAAGGACATTGGAAATAAAGCAGAAGTTGAACTGCGAGAACTTTGCCATGTTAAATCAGAAAATGAAGCGTATCAAAAGGAGAGAGAGGAACAGATAGAAAGTAACCTGACGCTAATGACAGATGTACAGAGTGCCAATCTCATCATTGAAAACCTTGAGAAAGAACGAAATCATCTACTTGTTAGCAACAAAAATTTAGAGGAGAAAAGCAAAGACATTCATGCAAAGTATGAGGATATTTCTGTTTTAAATCAAAGACTTGTTGCAGAGTTGGCATCGTTGGGACAAGACCAGGCTGCTTTGGTTCAATCAGATTCTAGACAAGAAACCAGCAATAGAACTGATGAATCACAACCACCACAAGATGACTCTGAGTTTTTGTCTGGGCAGTCATCCCATTTAGACTCAGATAGTGCATCAAGGCTCTGTCAGTCCTCTCTTGACCAAGATCAGTTATCACAACTTAACAACCACCAGTTGCCACAATTTGACAGGAGTTTCTTCTGTGGGAGACAAGAAGAAGTTCCATTGCAAGCCCAGGACATGAGTCGTACAAATAGTGGTTATCTCAGAAATATTAACAACAATAACAGCAATCAGAGTAGGCAAGAAGATAGTGAAGATTTGGGACTGAAAAAGACAAAGGAAGATAATCACAAGAAAGTGGCAGATCTGGAACAGGAAATCCTTCACATGCAAACACATGTCGATGACCTTCACACCATGAGAGCAAAACTTCAGGAGCATATTGAGCATTTAAGAAAGGAAGCCAAGGCTTTAGAGAAATCTTCACAACCACATGACTTGCAAAGTTTTAATACTATGGAGCCTGTCACAGATATTTCAAATACTGTTGTGAATGAACTCATGGACAAGAATAAAGCTCTGCTAGAAGAGAAAGATTTGCTAACTCGAAAAATCAGTGCATTGGAATGGCAGGTGACAGAACTCCAGACAGAGAGGAAGAGAACCACAGACAAGTCATCTTTACCTGTAGAGGAGGTGATGGTACAGAACGTAGTAGAGGTGGAGGAGGCTGTAGTTAGAGAGTCACATGGCACATGGACAAAGCCACCACAACAAAGTTCACTGTCCTCCCAAGATTCCATTGAACAGGAAATAAGGGTTCAAGACTCCCAAAATTCTGTATTTCTTGAGCAGGAAGTGATAGAAGATATGGTCACACAAACTGGATTCCAAGGATCGTGTGGAGCAGCAATCTCATCCCGAATGTCTCCAGACTCCATTGACCATTTGGACAATGATGACCACATGAATGACATTTCTTCAGATTCTATAGAACAGGATGTGCCAAGAACCGAGAGACACCAAGAGAGGGTAAGGAATTCCAAGTGCATGCTTTCAGTTAATCCAAGTTCGTTGATTCCTAGTTGCTCCGGTGGTGCTGGTAACTCCCCAACTACTAAGATTGGTTTAGATTCTGCTTCCATTGACAATGGTGTTGATTCCTTTACTAGCAGTGGCGACCCAGTTGGTTCAAAGTATGAGTCAGTTGGTCATGATGGGGCTAACATTATAGGAGATTTTACAGACAGTGGGGATTATTCAGATTCAGATAAACCTGGTGACAGTTGTCAGATGAACTATCAGGGATGTGATTCAGCTAGTCAGATATTGACTAAGCTTGAAGATACTTCTCCTGACCAGGCCATGATTCAGTTGGATAGTAAAAATGATACACAAACCACTGACTTCCTAGTATTACAAGAAAAATATCCTGAGAATCAAACAGAAATCCAGACAATGGCTGGAGAGAATGTTGCACTCAAAGAGAGGCTTCAAGATTATTGTGAACACTGTGATAGTTTTAGGGCAGAAAATGTTACTTTGTTCTCTTCCAAGGAAGACAACCTAAGGGAATTATATTCTTTACAGATTGAATATGACACTTTGCAAGAGAGATTAAAACAGGTGGAATTAGAAAATGCAAACCTTGTTTCCAAGTGTGAAGCTCTACAGAAAACTAGGTCAGAGCTGGAAATTCAGTCGATGGATTTAAAAGAAAAGCTTGACCCTGGTGATTTAGAAAAACACTCTGAGAATGAAGTTGAGAATATGTTTGAAGTTGAAATGTTGAAAAACGATGGTCAAGAGCTGAAAGTGAGAGATTCAGACCAACATGTTAATGAATGTGGTCGTGATCAACATGACAATGAATCCAAATCCTTGTGGCAAAGGAATGATGAGCTGGTTTTGCAAAATCAGACTCTGCAAAAACAGCTGCATGATATGAAGGGCAAAAGTTTCAAGATGGAAAAGGATGATGATTCAAGAACAGATACAGTAAAACTAAATCCAAAGGAAGTATTACAAGAAGGAGGCAAAGCTGAAGAAGATTTGCAATCCGTTCTCAGTCAGGTTCTGCAACAAAAGGAACAACTGGAAAAACAATTAGAACTTTATGCATCAGAACGACATCAAATGGTGACTGATTTTGAGGAGAAATTCAAACTTGTTCAGGAAACGTCAGTGCCTTCGTATGTAAATGAGGATGATTTGACAAATTTGAAAAGTGTGTGTTGTAAGTTGAATTTGGATGTAGAAAACCTTAAACAAGAGAATGTGAAATTAAGTACAGACAACGAGAAACTTGTCAAAGACCTGGAATCCAAAGAGAAGGAGAAGAAAAAATTGACTCAATCCCTGGAAGAAAACAAAGCAAAATTTATTCGCAATAAAGCCAAATTAGTAAAACTTGAGAAAACAAATACAGGGAAAACTTCAGGGGATATACAACATCTGGAACACTTATTACAAAGTAAAGAGGAAGAAAAACAGCAACTGAAACAAAAAATGGAAAATGTCCTACTTCAAATGGTGAATGATAACACTACCCTGAAGGAGACACTGCGATTCACCATGGACAAACTCAGAGAGGAAAAGGAAGAAACTGAAAAAACGAAGCAAGTTGTGGAGGGAATCATGAAAACTAATAGTGAATTGCTTGAGCAAACAAAAAATACAAATATGGACATTGATAGTTTAAAAGCTGAAAGGAGTTTAGCAGAACAATCTATCCAGATGTTGGAAGAACATCGGGCAACTAACCAGACTGAGATAGAGAAACTGACTCACTCATTAGAAAGAGAAAGGTGTCGTGTTTCTGAGTTGGAAGCACAATGTCAAGAACTTCACATGGTGTTTGAAAAAGTGAAAGAGGACTTAAGGATGAGTGAAGATGATTTCAATTCTTCTATACAATCCTACCAGGATAAATTGAATGCTAGCAAACTAGATTGGCAAGAATTGATGACAGCTTTAGACACAGAGAGGTTAAATGCTGGAATATTGAAGAAACAGTGTGAAGATCTCAAAACTGATCTGGAAAAGGAAAAATTAAATTCAGAAATATTGAAGAAACAGTGTGAAGATCTCAAAGTTGAAATGGAAAAGGAGAAATCAAGTGCTAGAATGTTGGAAAAAGAGTGTGAGGATCTCAAAACTGATCTAGAAAAGGAAAAATCCAATTCAGGGATATTTGAGAAAGATTGTGAGGACCTCAAACGTGATGTGGAAAAGGAAAGATCCAATTATGGAGCATTGGAGAAAGAGTTTGAGGATCTCAAAAGTGATCTGGAAAAGGAAAAATCAAATTATGGAACATTAGAGAAAGAGTTTGAGGACCTCAAAAGTGATCTGGAAAAGGAAAGATCCAGTTATGGAACATTGGAGAAAGAGTTTGAGGATCTCATAAGTGATCTGGAAAAGGAAAGATCCAGTTATGGAACATTGGAGAAAGAGTTTGAGGATCTCATAAGTGATCTGGAAAAGGAAAGATCCAGTTATGGAACATTGGAGAAAGAGTTTGAGGATCTCAAAAGTGATCTGGAAAAGGAAAGATCAAATTATGGAACATTGGAGAAAGAGTTTGAGGATCTCAAAAGTGATCTGGAAAAGGAAAGATCCAGTTATGGAACATTGGAGAAAGAGTTTGAGGATCTCAAAAGTGATCTGGAAAAGGAAAGATCAAATTATGGAACATTGGAGAAAGAGTTTGAGGATCTCAAAAGTGATCTGGAAAAGGAAAGATCCAGTTATGGAACATTGGAGAAAGAGTTTGAGGATCTCAAAAGTGATCTGGAAAAGGAAAAATCTAATTATGGAACATTAGAGAAAGAGTTTGAGGATCTCAAAAGTGATCTGGAAAAGGAAAGATCCAATTATGGAACATTAGAGAAAGAGTTTGAGGATCTGGAAAAGGAAGATGATTATGGAACATTGGAGTTTGAGGAAAGGAAGGATCATAAGTTAATTATGGAACATTGGAGAAAGAGTTTGAGGATCTCAAAAGTGATCTAGAAAAGGAAAAATCCAATTCAGGGATATTTGAGAAAGATTGTGAGGATCTCAAAAGTGATCTGGAAAAGGAAAGATCCAATTATGGAACATTAGAGAAAGAGTTTGAGGATCTCAAAAGTGATCTAGAAAAGGAAAGATCAAATTATGGAACATTGGAGAAAGAGTTTGAGGATCTCAAAAGTGATCTGGAAAAGGAAAGATCAAATTATGGAACATTGGAGAAAGAGTTTGAGGATCTCAAAAGTGATCTGGAAAAGGAAAGATCCAATTATGGAGCATTGGAGAAAGAGTTTGAGGATCTCAAAAGTGATCTAGAAAAGGAAAGATCAAATTATGGAACATTAGAGAAAGAGTTTGAGGATCTCAAAAGTGATCTGGAAAAGGAAAGATCAAATTATGGAACATTAGAGAAAGAGTTTGAGGATCTCAAAAGTGATCTGGAAAAGGAAAGATCAAATTATGGAACATTAGAGAAAGAGTTTGAGGATCTCAAAAGTGATCTGGAAAAGGAAAGATCAAATTATGGAACATTAGAGAAAGAGTTTGAGGATCTCAAAAGTGATCTGGAAAAGGAAAGATCAAATTATGGAACATTAGAGAAAGAGTTTGAGGATCTCAAAAGTGATCTGGAAAAGGAAAGATCAAATTATGGAACATTAGAGAAAGAGTTTGAGGATCTCAAAAGTGATCTGGAAAAGGAAAGATCAAATTATGGAACATTAGAGAAAGAGTTTGAGGATCTCAAAAGTGATCTGGAAAAGGAAAGATCAAATTATGGAACATTGGAGAAAGAGTTTGAGGATCTCAAAAGTGATCTGGAAAAGGAAAGATCGAATTATGGAACATTAGAGAAAGAGTTTGAGGATCTCAGAAGTGATCTGGAAAAGGAAAGATCAAATGCTGGAGTATTGGAGAAACACTGTAAGGATCTCAAAAGGACTGCAGAAACTTTGGAAATTCAATTCAAAGAAATGGAATGTTGTTTTGAAACAGCAAGAATGGAAAACGAAGAAAGAAAAGCACAGTGTAAACAACTTCAAAAAGCGCATGAAAATGAAAAGACAGCATTTGAAGATGAGATTGTGTCTTTAAAAGCTTTAATTACACAGGAAAGGACCAATTACTTTGAAAGAGATGAAATATTTACACAAAATTTTGACAGTGTTAATAAAGAGTTGGAAACATTGAGAATTAAAGATCGAAATTATGAGGAACTGCAAGTGCAGTATAACCAGCTGGAGGCGATTCTTGAAGTTCTCAACCAGCAAGCCAATTATGATAGCGAATGTCATGAAATGGAAAAATCTGTCATGACAGGACGTATGGAGCAGATGTCCACAGTCTTTCAAAATGAACGCCAAGAGCTTATCAGTAAGTGTGAAAAACTTCAGGAATCATTGGCAAGTGTGGAACAAAATCTGGACTCACTGAATCTGGAATATCAGACAAAGTTTAAAGATTATTGTATGGAAAAAGAGGAGTTTGAACAATACCTTCAAAGTCAGGGATTGGAATTAGAAGCATCTTTCAGCAAGGAGAAGGCCTGTCTGGAGGAACAATATGAACAACTAGAAAGGGATAAACATAGCATTGTGGAAGGCATTTCAAAACAACAAGAGCAGGTGGAGGCTGAAAACAGAAGTCTGGATCATAAAATAGTAGCCATGGAAGTTGAAATGCAGAATCTAAAAGATAATATACAATGTTATAAAGAGGATGCACAAAATCTAAAGGATGACAAGCAATGTTTGGAGGAGAAAATTCGGACAGTTGAATCACAACTTGATCTACAAAAGAAAGAGGAGCTTTCAACTCAAGAAAAGTTTGAATCTACAAAACAAAACTTTAAAATGCAGATAGAAAACTTGACTACAACTCTGGAAGCAGAAATAGAATCCTTGAAAGCTGATAAAGAAGAAATAGTCCACAAGTTAAATCAGGAGATGATCGATAAGGCAAAAGCGGAACAGAAAGGATTTGACATGGAAAAAGCAGAAATGGCACTGCAGTCAGAAGTCACACAGTTGAAGGAAAATTATTCGGTTCTGGAAGGGAAAATCTGGGAAATGCTGATATCCAATGGTAATGATGTCACCCTGCAGGATAAGGATATTATTCACTTGTTAACGGAACATTCCAATGACATTATACAGATGAAATCAAAACATGACAAGGAAATAGAGTCGGTGAAAGCTGATTGTGTGAAAATTTCAAAAGATTTTGGTAGTCTGCGCCAAGAGAGGGATATACTGATTGCAAAATTAGACAGTAGTGAAACTGATGCTGAAAAACAGGTTTCACAAATGAAGGAGGGGATCAGATTTCTGTCTGGTCAAGTGAAAGAGTTGGAGCTTAACTTAGATGATCAAGTCCAAAATCATTTAAAAGAAAAAGAGATGCTGGAAGCAATGTACAAAGAATTACAAGACAAAATGACCTTCAAGCAAGACAGGATGGATGCACTTGACACAGCATTAGATCTAGCAAAAAGGAGATGTGAGGATTTGGAGAAGGCAAATCTGGAGGTAACAGAACAATCTAAAAACTCTATGGAAAAGATGGAATCCACCCAGAAAGAAAACTTGGCTCTGATCGAGAATTTCAAACAATGTGTGCAGGATTTGGAAGAGGAATTGAAAATAGTTCACAGACAGGTTGAAGATTCTGACAAGCGAAATATTGAATTGGAAAAAAGTATTGAAAGTTTTCAGGAAGAATTAACAGACTTGACGGAGAGTAAAGACTTTTATCAGGCTGAGCTTGCATCAGCAACAGAAAATTTGAGACTGGCAGGAGATATCAGGCAGAGTCTTAATACTGAAATTGAAAGTTTGAAGAATGAAGTGGATGCTTTGACAGTCAACAAGAATGACCTTCTTAGCCAGCTAGAAACACTTAAAAATAACATGACAGACAACGACAGTATGAGTGAAGATTTCCTCAATGACTTCAAATCTCTTACTGCTGAACGGGATGGAGAAATATCCAAAAATAAGGAACTTCTGTCACAATTGAAGCTTCGCAACGAACGATGTGAAAAGTTGGTTATAGCTCGAGAACATCTTTTGAAGGAGTTGGATGCTTCAGAGCAACTAAGAACACGATTAGAAAAAGAATATGAATGTATGAAACAGGAAAATCAGGAATTGATTCAAGAATGTGCTATAATGAAGGAACAAGCTTTAACAGGTCATGAGGCACTGGTACAGAGGAGTCAGACTCTGGAGGCAAAGAATGAATCATTAGAAAAGGAGATAGTAAAACTGGAGGAGAAACTGTCACAGATTGGACAAGAACGAGACAGGCTGGTTAAAATCCACGAGACAATGGTGGAAGATCTGTCAGAAATGCAGCATAAATATGAAACTGTTCAATCATTGATGGAGGACACAAAAAAGGAGTGCAATAAAGAGATAGATAAGCTTAGAGCACAGCTTGGAAATGTCAACTCTGACATGGCAGCTATGAAATCTTCTCTACAACTGCTTGAGGATGATCTTGATGTCTCGCATGATCAAAAAACACAACTTATCCTGAGGCTGTCACAGGAGGAAAACAGGTTGCATGGATTGACTGCAGAAAAACACCTAAATTCAGAGGAGGATTCATCTAAGTCTGAGAAGGACATGAGGAATCAAAGAATGGCTTCAGGCTCCCAGCAGAATTATGCAGAGGTCTCAGAATTACTGGAGGGTAACGAAGAGGAAGAACAGGTTTCATCATCTGGATTCTTTCAAGAAGAGCCTGTCTTAGATGCAGACACTGTGGCCCATTATGAAAAATGTATCAATGAATTAAAAACAGATCTTGATTATGCCAAGTTGGAAAATCAACACAACCAGGAATCCTTTGAACAGGAAGTGATAAAATTAAAAAAGAAAATTGAGGATCTAGAAAAAAGGAAAGATGATAATTTTGAAGATAGAATTTTCACTGAGAATGAAAGTTCAGGATGTTTGCAACATGATGCTGGTGTGGAGAACACATCCTCACAAGTTGAAGAATCATCTGCACAGGAGAGGGAGGGTGAGATAGAAGCAAGAGTTGAAGAGTGTGTTACAAGACGGCTTGAAGGAATGAAATATGAAATGGAAGAAAAAATAGCACTTCAGGTCAGAAGTAAAGAGGCAGAAGTTGCTGACAAATATGACAAAGAATTCAAGAAATATAAGAAGGATATGGAAGTTTATCTGAAGCATAAAGTTGAGACTATTCGTGCAGAGAAGGATACAGCCTTCCTTAAGGCCATGCAGAAAGTCAACAGGGATGCTGATAAACGGATAAAAAAAGAGCTTGAGAGACAAAGACTCAAGCTTCTGGAGGAGAGAGCTAATGAGGCAGGTGATGGAAGCACTGAAGAGGGCAAAATGGGGACTCAGATTGGAGAGGTTGTCCAGAAGCTACATCAAGAGAATCAGGTATGTTGAATTGACTGTCTCTGTATTGTAACTTTAGAAATAATAGTTGTGTTTGTAGGGAATGCTATATTTTTGTTTTTTCTTTCTTTTTTTTTAAGTGATGAAAAATATCAAGGTCACTATTACTGTAAAAAAACACATTCAGAATTGATCCCCATTTCTAGACTATTAGTCTGAGATGCCTTGTTGAGCTAGGTGTAGAATAAATATTATATGCCATAAAGTTTATTGAAAAATATTTGATCTTAAAAATGCATAGAAAAGCTTATATCATTTAAAAACAAAATTGGTAGTGATAATAAATGTATGTTTATTCTTCCGTTATTTTTGCTGCTATTTAATGATTTCAGAAACAAGAGATTAATTCTTTCTATAATAATAAAATAGAGATCATTAGTACTAGTTTAGAAGATTGTAATAACTTTCCTCAAATTTAATTGGATCCATAGATACATGCAATGGAGATCCTTACAGAATAAAAATATGTACACACATGCTGTTTATCAAAGAAAACTTGACAGTACACAAACATCAAAGCTATTTTCACTTGGTTGACATGTGTCAGCCTGTGAAGACCAGTAAAACCATGTCATCCTAATAAAGATAGCCATGTTTGTCTTATATTGACGAGTTTTCTCCATATTTACTCTGATGGTATTTAGAATATTTCTATGGGTCCTTCTTAGTCATGGAGAGCATTTAGTACAAATTAATGTTCTCAGCAAATCACAAATACAATGTGACATTCAATATGCTGTAGAAGTTAGCGAGACGATTACCTGCTGATTATCATCATATTAAAAGGGCTTTGTGTTTGACCTGTTCTGTTATTGAAGTAAAAACTAGACAAAAACTGTTTTTCTTAAACATGATTCTATTTCAAAATCATCCAAAAATTTTGTTAACATTTCACATGAAACTTTTTTGTGAAATGATTTGTTCCAATATTTTTGTAATTTGATTTTAGTAACATTTTTTTTGTTGCTATTCCAGGAACTGGCTGAGGCAAGGGACGCCCTTCTCAAGCAAGTAGCACAATCTCACCGCAATCAGGAACGCCTTCAAGAGGAACTACGCATCATGCGGGGAGATGATGACAGTATCCAGTCTGACTTTCCTGACAACATACCTGGAGAAAGCATTGTGAGTGAGGGTGGGGACTACATTCAGGAATCAGACATGGATATTGACCAGTCAAAGTTCTCTCATCATTTGTATGATAGCACATCACTGATGTTTGACTGGGAACTGTCACCACAACTTTCCTTTGACTATGGCCGTGAGGAAGGTGATTCGCTTGATTTTGTGGAACATTTTGAGTGCAGGAGACCTCGTTGTCGTCTCATTCGACAAAAGTTTCAGGAATTATATGATGCTTTGCCTGGCAGTGGTTCTGGATCATCAGTCATTGAGGATCTGGAAGAGGAACGATCAGGATTCAAACAGGAAGACATTAGAATTATAGGTCCTGACGTTGAGTCTAATTCAGAAACGCAGACAGAGACAAACTCAAAGGAAGGCAGCTTTCATCCTGAAGAAAATCATTTATCCAGTGAACAAACTGAATCTTTTACGCGTACAAAGTCTGCTAACAAGCTCCCTATTGAAACCCCAGAGACAGCTGTTGAATCCTTTGATTCCAAAGTCGAAAATGTCAGCAATGCTGTTAATACATCCAGGTTTTTTCTTCAAAATGAGAGTAACAATCATAATCATGATTTTCTTCAACATGATACCAAACTTCCAGAGACAGAAATAGACAAATTACTGACAACTGAAGGAGAAGTAGGGTTTAAACCTGAGGAAGACTTTGAGGATGTTGATGAAAATGTGATAAGTAAAGGTCAAGGCCCTAGGAGTGAATTTTTACCTGAGGGTGATGTAGTGAGGATTAACGAAGGGAGAGAGGTAGAGGAGTTCATAGTAGATGATGTGTTTGAGTCTTCCATACATGGAAATATATGCAAAGAAACTGAATCAGATTCTGACTTGAGAAAAGTTAAAATGGAAGAGAAAACACTGGATGACCAGGTGATTATTCCTGAGAATGTTCCTGACTGTGATAATAAGCCACTTACAGAGGTAGACAAGTTTAAGCCAGAGATTGGAGTTCAAGTTGAGTCCTCTGTCCAGTGTCCATCTGGAGTGGAAATCAAGGAGGGATTCACCAGGGAGTTTGATGAATTTGAAAATGAGGATATGTTTGAGGCTGGTGATGGATTCAAGCCTGAAGGAGATGGCTTTAGTCTTGACCAGGATCTGGTAGGCGACATTATGCCCATTACTCCTACCAGTGAACTTGAGAGTGAACTTGTCAGGGAGGCATTACGTAGCGCTGCTCAAATCAGTGCTCCTCAATATGTACAAAAGACAAAAAGATATTTGTCTACTGCCCCTGCGAAAAATGAGCCAAGCACAACCAATAGTCATCAAGCTCTAAAGCGGTCAAAGTCTGCACCGTCTTCTGATGGTTTTATTGAAGAGTGTGATGAGGCGAGGGAAGAGAAATTGATCCAGTCAGTTGACTCTGGTATGATCTTTATGGAGGGGATGCAGGAAGGAATTGAATTTGATATGTCTAAACCCCTTCAGGAAGAGGACACTGCCGTAAAACAGGAAAACATAAATCCGGGAATGTCAATGGAAAACAAACAGGAAACTGACCTAGAAACTATACAGAGACTGAAAAAAGACAAGAAAATGCTTGAGAAAAAGGTTGCCTGTCTCCTTAAAGAGAAACAATCACTGACAGACAAACAGCAGGAAATGACTTTACAGTTGGAAAATGAATCTTTATCTCGTCAACACTTTGAGCAGGAATTGATAGGTATTAGTGATAATTTTGAAAAATTGGCCGTCAAAACTACTAATCCCAATACTGCTGCTGTAACAGAGTCTGAGAACAAGGAAAAAGATGATGTCATCAGCAATCAGGAAATTAAATCCAAATGTGAAGATTTACAAGGTGAGATTTTTAGTTTAGAAACATCCCTCTCAGAGAAAGAAGAGTTGCTGATGCTACAAAGACAAAATTTTGATGACGAGAATAAATCTCTTTTAAGGAAAGTCCAGAATTTGGAAGAAAGTCTCAATTCTGAACTGTCCAGTTCTTCCAAAGCTAAAAGAGATTTCGAACAGGAGACATCGGTGCTTCGTCAAAGAATTATTGAAATGACATCTGTCCTGGAGAAGGACGACGGAAAGATAGATCTTGATCAACAGGTGGATTCGCTAGAATCACAAGTAAAGGAGCTGGTGTCTGATAAAGTCAAGCTACAGCACAGATGTAAGGATTTGGAATCAATGTTGAGAGAGACTCAAATGGTTGCTCTGAAAGAGAAAACAGAACTTGATAAGGAGCTTGAATCTATTGAAGGTCGTACACTAATGCTGTCATCAGCTAACCAGGATTTAAAGTCTAAATGTATTGAAATGTCACATCTTCAGGCAAATTGGACTGAGGAGAAAAAACAATTGATAGACGAAAAATTAGCGCTGGAAGCTCATTTAGATGAAATCATGGTCGATCGTCAAAATCTCCAAACAACCTGTCATGACCTTGAAGATTTTGTTAAAAGGTCAAAAGATGCTTCGGCTACTATGGAAATGCAATTGAAAACGCTAGAGGATGATTTATGTGAAATGACTGCTGCTAAACAGGAACTTCATCTGCACTGTATGGAGCTGGAGAATAGACTTAATGTACAGGAAGGATATTCTGTGATGGGAAACTCCTCCAGGGAACATAAAAGTATGCAAACTGAAATTGGTCAGTATCCTGAGTCTGCACAAGAGAACTCTGGTGAGAAAAGTGCTGCAGAGCTTATAGGGGATTATGTCCCTGATACACGGATTGAGGAACTTGAAAAGTTGTTGAAGGAAAAAGAACAACGTATGAATAAGCTAGAGGAAGAATTGAAACAGGTTGTGTCATCAACTAAAAAGCAGAAGGAATTTTTGCAGGTGAAATCAGAATTAGAACAGACACTAAGAGAGAAAGACAATTACATACGGAAACTTGAGGAGCATTTTCTGAGACAAGGACCATTCACCATACCAACAAGTGGGCCGTCCATAGAGCCATTGGAAACAGGAAGTGAGAATGCATCGTCAAGTGGGGACAGTGTTGTACCCCAGGTTCTGGTGGAGAATGTTGAGGATCTACAACCTCAAGGTCATAGTACCATTGCAAGTGTTGGTGATGATCATTCAGAACATCCCAGTGATGTAGAAATGCATATAGAAGATCTAGCTGACCACTCAGCGGTCAGTGTAGGTGACCTCTCCCATGTCAGTGCAGGTGACCTCTCCCATGTCAGTGTAGGTGATCAGAGTGAACTGTCCACTGCTAATGCTGTTTTGCATGCAGTACCACAAAATAAACAGATTGGCAGCAAACCAATTTCAGAACAAGGTCCAAAACTTGTGGCAGCTATATCACATTCCAGTCCAATCGCATCCCCTAAAATTGTCTCCCCTCGCGCCCCATCCACTTGTTCAAACACAGGCAGCTTTAACAGTACGGAGAGACTACAGGCTGGGTTTGTAACCGAGGATGATGGTCGTCTCGAATCTAAACATTTTGAACTGGTAGATGAGATTGCAAGGTTAAGGAAAGACTTAAGTGAAACAAAAGCAATTTACACTAAAGAAAATGTTTTACTCAAGGAGGCTCTTGATAAAGAGGGTTCGTCTCGCGATGCTACCAAAAGTAAATCAAGTGTTAGCTCCACAAGTTTTGATTCGGATTCGTGTCACGAGGTAACTAGACTACGACAAAAGGTCGGTACTTTAGAGGAAACTAATAAAATGCTTCAAATTGAAAATGAACGGTGGTTACGTCAGATACAAGACCAAGAACAGGTTGTAATTGAACTCCGTGAATTATTAGGGAGAGATGTTCCAACCACTGAACACACTGAAAGTGTGTTTGGCAAACAGATTGCACTCTTACAAAACCAGAGAGATCATCTTCTAGAAAAGATTCACGAATTTGAAACGAAAAATCAAAGATTGACACGCAAATTGGGTGACAATAGTATTTTGGAAGAAAGCTTAAGACGAGAAAAAGACTTGCTGTATGCCAAGTTGTGTGAGAAGGAAGATTTAGAACGTGAATTATCAGAGAAACGATTAGCACTGGAGAAACAACGGCACTCGCAGGAACAACTGGAAGAAATTTTGTATCATAAAAATATAACAGAGAAGGAACTGATGAGACAGAAACGACTTCTGGAGGAGGAACTAACGGAGATTGAATCAAAGCTTCAAGAAAAAGAAGAGCTCCTAGAGAGACAGAAAAATACTCTTCTGAAGGACATCAAACGGAGGGGCTCTTCCCCACCAAAATTATTATCTGGAAGTTTCAGTGTAGCATTGAACGATGATGGATCTCCAGCATCTTCTACTTTCTATCTGGAGGGAACTCCGTCAACATCAACTCCAAAAAAATCTGACACAAATGCAACACCACGTGAACTTGGCCGTCTTGAACTGCAGGTTCAGGAGGCCGAACGTCAGCATGCAAGTGCAATTCAGAATTTAAGACAGAGTCTAGCTGTGAACAATGCGGGCCAACAGAGAGACACTAGGCAGCGGTATGGAGGACTTGTGGCGTCACTCAGGACAGAACACTTACACAAGGTGCCCGAATCCTAGACTCATACCCCACCTAACACAATAGTATATCAGAGAACTAGCAGAGCCCTTTAAACACAAGTGCAAAATTCCAACCGTGAAACAGGGGTCATTCCCTTGTCTTCTTTCAATAAAGTTACCATGTATTTTAGTCCTAATCAGTTGCTATTTTTAAACTGTTATTGAAAGTTACACTCGAGGGAAATTCTTCTCTTGAATAGTGCATTGTATAACAGGAAACCTACAGAATAAAAAGATTTCTGAATGATGTTACTGGTAGTAGAAATCTGACTCTAAGCTGATCTAATGAATATTGAGAGTCTTTTGGATGAATGACTCCTGACTCAGTGAATAGCTGTACTTGTGAATTTGGGGTTACCTGTACCACTGGGAGCTTGAGTAATTGACATTGGTGATGGGCATGCTTGCTTACCTCTCTTTAGTCTGTATAATGTAAAGATATCACTACGCAAGAAAAGGAAAAAATATACCCAAAGTACTGTTCATCACTTGTTTTTTGTGAATATTTATCGATGTTTCTGAACCTTGATCTATGCATTTTTCATGTATTGCTGAATATCATTATTTTTGAAAGGTTTTGCAAACATGTATTTTCAAATGTTATAAAAAAACAGAGTGAAAATTGGTCAGTGTAGTATTTCAACTTCGAGAAAATTATTAATATATTCTTTGTTCAGAATATTGTCACACATCTCAAGAAACAAAATTTCACTTCACTCAAAGAAATAAATATTTCACAAAATATCTGTGGTTTACGGTGACTAAAAGTGGTGATGATAATGGTTTAAACTTAAGAACAATCAGTGTAAAATCCCCTGTAAATCTCCTGGAAATTATTTTTGTCAATTGGTATACCTGCTAGTCATCAACAATTATGGAAAGATGTATAAAATGGCTGATGACAAAGGCCAAGTAGAATACAAATTGGTTTATCAGAAATTTGTGGCTAAACAGGAAGTTTACAGATGGGGAATGATTGGGTAATGTACTGATGGTTCTTAATTTGCATGAATATATAATTGTGATAAAATTTTATACTGTTTATTGCCTATTTGTATGGTGTCTGTGATGAAGAACAGATTCTGTCTTCTCTGCCTTTATTTCATTTGTTTACACCTTATAAAGTGATAAATGTGATATTTATAATCTACAAAAGCTTGTGATTTCTGCCTTTTCTTAGAATTGCGATCATAGGAGAAATATACTGATATGTTTGTGTAAGGTCAGAATTCAATGAGGCTTTTGTATTCTTTGCTTAATCAAACATGTTTAAATATCCTTATTATATGCATGAACTAACAGTGATAAGATATACATATAATTAGTATGGTAAGGTCACTCAAATGAAGACAGCAAGCTCAAAGAATTCTTTTTTGGTCTCAAAACTTTTTCTTCATCTTATTTTGTACCCACAGATTTTATTGTGAATGTTGTTAAGAAAAAAGTTTGGATTTTATAATGATAGGAACAATAGCAATACTTCATTGGATTGAATAGTCACAATGCGGTCTGATAGTGTACATCTAGTATTTGAAAAAGGAAAAAGAAATTTGATTACTTGTTTATTATGACATAAAGTATCAAATTGAATACCATTAAAATGCCTGTATAATTAAGGAATTTCTGTTTTTAAGATGTACTATGCATTTTTGTGTGATTGTTTTCCATTTATGATGTAAAGGACAATATTTAGAACTCTATAAGTTCAGTGTGTATACTGGCCATGGTTTTGAACATATCGCTGATGTTACTAAGGGAGACAACTCCAATTCTGTACCGCATGTAAAACCTGTCTATAAAGATCTTCCAAGGGAGATGACAGTAACGACTATCATAACCCTTTCTAGTTTATTTATTGTCTTTATAATGACAAAGGGAGATAATGCAATCTGTCATATTGTTCACCCTACAAGAATTTTTGTTTACAACTTACATGGTATAAAAACCAATTGAGGGAGCCATCAATATACTGTAAGGGTAGGTCAAATGTTGACACAAGATCACCTCACTTGGTATTCGCCTAATGCCTGTACCCACTGATTTCATGTGCTTCTGGGCACTGGTCTTTCTTCTTTCACTTGGATGGTTAACTTATAGTTGGTTCGCGGTAGTCACCCACACTCACTGATCGCTTTGCAGTCACCTCATGGTCATTTGATGGTCATCACATTGCACTGGTCACCTGACATCCTTTTTTCTTGTTATACTAGGTGAGGAAATTTGGTCTACAAGTATTGGTTTGTGCAGAAATTTCTTTGAGCATGTTAATTCCTACTATTTACTTCAGAATAACCAATGGTTTGCTGGTAATTCAGCTTGTGGTTTCGGTTATAGAATTGAGTTGTTTATGTCATGTATTGCTGTTGGAGTTTCTGTTCATACTTGCGAAGGATTGTGGTAAGTTATCAGTTTTCTCATCTGAATTAAAAAAATCTTAATATAGATGCATCAATTTTTCAGTGTTAAGATATCTTATGTTCACCCCAGAAATGGTTGGATAGTTACAAGACTATAGTATTTGTGTGGTATCTACCAGACATGGTAATTATAACTTACACCTGGTTATAAATCTACCAATATATTGTTCTTCAGAAGAATGATAAAAAAATGCTGTGTGTTGTGTCCTGTAATAAGCCCACCCCAAACTTTTGAGTCCAAGATAATAGGTTTGCAGTTTTTACTTACTGTGCAACCTGTTAGCATTGTTAAGTTTTCTTATATGTTATATGTTTGTGTTTAAAATATTAGAAATCCATGGCAGGAAAAAAGTTGATGTTTACATCAACAGATTTTAATTCAGACTGAAGCTGACAAATACAAAGGTAGCTATCTATATTTTACATATGGTGTTACTAAATTTTGCATACTCACATCCAAAATGAAATCATTCACTTAGAAGACTTTATAATGCCTTCGAGTAAACAGTATTTTCATGGGTCATTTATTTTAGAAGAAGTCAGCGTAAAATGGTTCGTTATTAAATGAAATGGCAAGATATATCCCGTAACATTAGGTCGTGTCATCTTTCCCTCTTTGTCAGATATGGAGTTTACTGGGTTGCACTGGGTGATAGCAGATGAAATAATGTATCATTTAAATATCTTCATTCTAGAATTGTGTCATGTTCAGCTGGAATATTTTTTATGGAAACATATATTCAATAAATTTGTAATATTTAAAAAAATGTTTGGATTTCTCAAAACAGCAGTCTCTCATACAGGTGGTGATTCTGAAAATTTATCCTCAGTTGATTGGGTTTGGACATCCATAGTGTTATAACATAGACTGGATTGGGTCTGGACATCTTCAGTGTTATAACATAGACTGGATTGGGTCTGGACATCCACAGTGTTATAACATTGACTGGATTGGATCTGGACATCTTCAGTGTTATAACATAGACTGGATTGGGTCTGGACATCCACAGTGTTATAACATGGACTGGATTGGGTCTGGACATCCATAGTGTTATAACAGACTGGATTGGGTCTGGACATCTTCAGTGTTATAACATAGACTGGATTGGGTCTGGACATCCACAGTGTTATAACATAGACTGGATTGGGTCTGGACATCCACAGTGTTATAACATAGACTGGATTGGGTCTGGACATCTTCAGTGTTATAACATAGACTGGATTGGGTCTGGACATCCACAGTGTTATAACATAGACTGGATTGGGTCTGGACATCTTCAGTGAGAGCTAATGGTTCTGAAAACTTGCTAGAACGTTGTATCCGACTTCAGTCATATTTATACAAAAATGATTCCTATGCTCCCATACATTCCCAATATTATCATGACAGGTGTGATTGTGTAATTATTGTCTCCCTTTATTTGAAGTTATTTCTGTGCTTGAAAAAGAATTCCTTAGAAGGAACACAGATAAACAGCACTTGTAGATCTGAATATACCAATAGATATTGTTAATACAACTTCTCTGTACATGTGTTTTAACCTTCTTGGACCTCCCAGTGATGTTACGGACCTGCAATGTTTTATGTTGACTTTGTATACACATTGTGTTTTACAAGTAGTGATGATTTTCTATACTTTGTAACACAGTGATGTTACGGACCTGCAATGTTTTATGTTGACTTTGTATACACATTGTGTTTTACAAGTAGTGATGATTTTCTATACTTTGTATCACATTGTGTTTTACAAGTAGTGATGATTTTCTATACTTTGTATCACATTGTGTTTTACAAGAAGTGATGATTTTCTATACTTTGTATCACATGACATTGTGTTTTACAAGTAGTGATGATTTTCTATACTTTGTATCACATTGTGTTTTACAAGTAGTGATGATTTTCTATACTTTGTATCACATGACATTGTGTTTTACAAGTAGTGATGATTTTCTATACTTTGTATCACATGACATTGTGTTTTACAAGTAGTGATGATTTTCTATACTTTGTATCACATGACATTGTGTTTTACAAGTAGTGATGATTTTCTATACTTTGTATCACATGACATTGTGTTTTACAAGTAGTGAGGATTTTCTATACTTTGTATCACATGACATTGTGTTTTACAAGTAGTGAGGATTTTCTATACTTTGTATCACATTGTGTTTTACAAGTAGTGAGGATTTTCTGTACTTTGTATCACATGACATTGTGTTTTACAAGTAGTGAGGATTTTCTATACTTTGTATCACATGACATTGTGTTTTACAAGTAGTGAGGATTTTCTATACTTTGTATCACATGACATTGTGTTTTACAAGTAGTGATGATTTTCTATACTTTGTATCACATGACATTGTGTTTTACAAGTAGTGATGATTTTCTATACTTTGTATCACATGACATTGTGTTTTACAAGTAGTGATGATTTTCTATACTTTGTATCACATTGTGTTTTACAAGTAGTGAGAATTTTCTATTCTTTGTATCACATTGTGTTTTACAAGAAGTGATGATTTTCTATACTTTGTATCACACGACATTGTGTTTTACAAGTAGTGAGGATTTTCTATTCTTTG